GGAAGGTGCCCGCCTCTTGCGGTCCAGGGCAAGCTCCTGGGAACCGCCAGCCTGGTCCCAGGAAGAGGGGGTGGGCTGGGGGACATCGGGGGGGTGGCTCTGTGCTGTGCCAGGTGCAGGGTCTGCTGGCTAGGTTCTGGCAGGCTTGCACCTGGCACGGGCATCGTAGCCAGCCCGTGCCCCTTTAAGGGGTCTGGGGCCGGGAGGGGGGCAATAGAGTTTCCCTGGTGTTGGCCAGAGTGGCCACCAGGGAAAGCTGGGGAGGGCTAGCCTCCCACTAATTCGAATTAAGGGGCTACACTCCCCTTAATTCAAACTAGTAAGTTCGAACTAGGCTTAGTCCTCGTACAATGAGGTTTACCTAGTTCAAACTAAGCGCTCCGCTAGTTCGAATTAAGTTCGAACTAGCGGAGCGCTAGTGTAGCGCCTATCAAAGTTAATTCGAACGAACGGACGTTCGTTCGAATTAACTTTGTAGTGTAGACATACCCTCTGATATCAGTGTGTCTCCAGCCCAGCCTCAGAGCAAAAGCTGAGCCTGGGTGTGTGGGCCCTGCTATTACCGGTGCGCCCTTGTGTAAGGCAGGGCTCTGAGAGCCATAGGGCTGGAGCACAGCAGGAGCTGGGCATTCTGGGAGCCTGGCGACAGTGGGGATCTTTTTTCTTACAAAAAAAATTCTTTTCTTTCATTTCTGAAAACTTCTAATATGGGATCTAACGCGTGTTTATTGTGAATAATGCAAGGATTTTAAAAAGGAGGGAAACTCCATTTAATGCGACCATAATAATTGTTGATTAATCATTTTAAGTTCAGTTCTTGATCTTTTTCGCCATATGTTCCAAACATTTCTCATTTTGATTCCCTCAGGCTAGAATCAAAATGAGCACTTTTTGGCCGTGAATCGTTTTACTGACAAGTTTGAATGGAAATGAAGATTTTGGGGAAAGTGTCCCTATACCTTTTCAAAACCATTTTTCATGACAAACATTATCAGTTGAATATTCTTGACCAGCCTTGATCCCCAGCGTCTTTACAGGGCTTGTGTTCAGTCTAAAAACACAAAGTAAAACACTGAAAAAGCACCTAAGTCCCATTGGCTTTCCATAGGCATTATGGGTCAGATCCACAACAGGACAGAGAAACATGAAGGGCTAACTGCTCTGACCATGCCTATCAGTCCAAATGCTGAACTAAAGACAGCCAGGAGCCGGTGACAGAGACAGAGGGTGTGGGCGTGTGGCCTGTGATTCCAGAAGTGCTTGGCTGAAGCACTCACCAGGTCTGATTCCCTGTGTCTGATTTGGGGACAGGGATTTAATTTCAGGCCTTTCCCATCCCAGAAGGGTCTCCTAGCAACAAGTGGTCCACAGGCCCCATGGCAGAGGGGGGCTCTGAGGAGGGAGTTTGAGGAGGACAAACTGGTGGCTTTGTGAACGCCGATGGGAAGCTGTTGCCCAGCGCTGATGGGAGGTGGGAACAGGAGGACGAGCTCCCAGAGGGCAGGAGCAGCCCCTGAGAGTGATGAAAAGGGATTAATAATGCAGAGGAACCTACCTGAAGGATTCAGCATGTCCCAGGAGATTCCATGAAGTGAGTCTAGGGTCCTGCAAGACGTTGAGCACCCAAGGCATTGAATGGACGTGCTGGGGCAGGTGGGGAAATGAGTCCCAGCGCTGTGTGTGAACTCTGACCGGGGGAAGTGAAAGCGCCTGGGCACCTGTCACACATTAACCTGGGTGTGACAGCAGAGGTATAATCCGCGCAGATGTTAGTTACCTGCAGAGACTCAGGGAGGGATTTACATGTCACTGACGGGTTCTGTTTGTCCTCCCTTCACCCAGGAGACCCTCTGCAGTGCAGCCCTGAGAATTGCTCCCCACTTCCACCCCATCCTCTTTCCCCACCACCAAGCTGCCCTTCCTGTCCCCGCCTGTCGGGCATTAGCAGGCTGTGCCACGCATTGAAAACAGCATCCCCAGGGTCTAAGGTTCAGTGCCAAGTGACATGAATGTGGGACAGGAGGCGCAGGGCAGGACAGCACCAGCGACTTCTAAGGAGGAATCATTGTGATCATGTGTACAAGGGCTTGTACTAGGGGTCAGTGGGAGAGTTTGTAGGCAGGATCTGCCAGGCCACAGCACTGGTTTCTTCATAAACTAAGGAGTACGCTCTGCGAACACTTTTTATCTGCTTCCCATTTGGGCAGCCTGGTTGGGCAGGATGCAGCTACTGAACTAGGCACTGTGGAGTTACATCCGGCTAGAGGGAGAAGGCTGCTAGTTTCCGGCCTGTCAACCCCACAGAAACCTAATTCCTGTTCCCGTCGCTGCAGAGGGCAGGAAGCCAGCCGGGCTGGCAGGATTACATAAGTGAGGCTCCTGCAGGATCTTGTCTGCCTCTGAGACTCAGCCAGCAGGAGCCCTGGGATTTCTATCACCTGGGCTGTGTCTAGACTGGCAAGTTTTTCCGCAAAATCATCTGCTTTTGCGGAAAAACTTGACAGCTGTCTACACTGGCCGCTTGAATTTCCACAAGAACACTGACAATCTCATGTAAGAAATCAGTGCTTCTTGCGGAAATACTATGCTGCTCCCATTCGGGCAAAAAGTTTTTGCACAAAAGGGCCAGTGTTGACAGCTCAGCCTTGTTTTGTGCAAAAAAGCCCCGATCGCGTAAATGGCGATCGGGGCTTTTTTGCGCAAAAGCGCGTCTAGAGTACTTTTGTGGAAAAGCGTCCGTGCCAATCTAGATGCTCTTTTCTGCAAATGCTTTTAACGGAAAACTTTTCTGTTAAAAGCATTTGCGGAAAATCATGCCAGTCTAGACGTAGCCATGGGGTCTGCCCAGCACACAGCCTGGAGAGCAAGTGTCCCTCCGGGCCCATGTAAACCTGACCCCATCCATATCTGACTCCAGAAAAGCAATTTCAGGCTCCTCTCAGGTGTCATAGGGGCTCACAGCCTCCTGGCCAGAGCAGGACGAGAGGGAGCAGAGTCAGTCACAGCAGTGAACACACCTCGAATGTGCTTCTGGAGGGAAGGCGGCCCATCCCAGTGCCTGTGCCTTGAGCAGAAACCTGGGGCCTTGGACTTGAAATGTCAGGAAATGTCGGGGAGCAGAGGCCCAGCCCACCTAGGATGCAGAGAGTAAGAGCAGAGCCAGCAGGGTGAACACATTGGATTTTAAAATCATTTTCCTGTGGGTTTTTATCCCACATGCAATGTCAGCACTGATTTATGTATTTTTTTCAATATTCTTACTTCTACTCAGGGGCTTGGTCACCACGGATGTTCCCAAATGTGAAATGTAGCTAAGTGCATATCGCTGAAGGCCTTCTGCGTACATGAGATATCCAAGGGGGCATGTACTCTTTCAGGCTTTGTCTACACTACACTGTTCTTCCAGAAAAAGCTACGCAAATTGCGAACCACAATTTGCGAAGCTTTTTCCTCTTCGTTTTTTGGAAGAGGCTTTTCCGACATTTGGACCATCTACATTGGGCCAAATGTCAGAAAAGCCTCTTCCAAAAAAAAATTTCGGACGAGCAGCCACATTCCCACTCTGCAGTGTAGAAGTAGCATCAGTGGTGGGAAATGCCTCCCACCCCCTCCCCCCACTCACAGATCAATACTAGTCCCTGCGCTCTGGCCAGTCATCCTGTGAGTCTTCTGACGGGAACTTTACAGCAAGAAGGAAATAAACACTAATTAAAGTAAACAGAGAGAAACCCAAATAATTAGCAGGAGATGGAACCTTTCTATTATGCTAGGCTGGGTCAAAACCCCACTGTGCTGGGCTCTGTACAAACAGAGGCTATGTCTAAACAACACTCTTTTATAGGAAGAAGCTATGTAACTTTTTCTGATTTTTTTTTGGAAGAGGCTTTTCTGATATTTGGCCCCATGTAGATGGGGCCAAATGAGAGAAAAGCCTCCTCTTTTGGAGGAGCCATTATTCCTCATGAAATGAGGAATACAGGGTTCCCTGAAAGGGCATGTGTGCTCTTCTGCAAAAAAAAGCGGAAGAGCAGATGTGTTCTCTGGATGCGGCGGGGTTTTTCTGGGATACTTCTGGGGTATCTGATATCCCGGAAAACCCCCATAGTGTAGACCAGTGTTTCTTAAACTTTTTAAGCCCGAGGAATACCAAACAATATTTTTTTTAATGGGGAACTCCAAGGATTTTTCTGTTGAGAATAGAAAAGGAGGCTTGCCCCTTTAAGGATGGCCATTCCCAAAGGAAAAGTTGTTGACCAAACCCCCTATCCCCCAGGGAAAAGTTGTTGAGCAAAACAAACAAACAAAAAAGAACGGGGGAAAAAAGTTAAGCAAAAAACCCCAAACAGTTTGCCCTTTTATCAGTAGAGCAAGCATTGCCCTTTTAAGGGCGGCCATTTTGAACTCTGTTCAGGCATTGCCCTTTTAAGGGCAGCCATTTTGAACTCTGTTCTCCTCCACACACCTGTGTGCTGTGCAAACAGACACGCTTTTCTGAAAATGCTTTTAACGGAAAATTTTCCGTTAAAAGCATTTTCAGAAAAGCGTGTCTAGATTGGCACGGATGCTTTTCCGCGAAAGCACTGTTTGCGGAAAAGCGTCTGTGGCCAATCTAGACGCGCTTTTGCGATCGGGGCTTTTTTGCAGAAAACATATCTCTGCTGTCTACATTGGCTCTTTTGCGCAAAAGTTTTTTGGAAAAATACTTTTGCCCAAACGGGAGCAGCATACTATTTTCGCAAAAGCACTGACAATCTTACATGAGATCGTCAGTGCTTTTGAGGAAATTCAAGCGGCCAGTGTAGACAGATGATTTTGTGGAAAAAGTTGCCAGTCTAGACACAGCCCCTAAGAAATGTTGGTTTAGACAAACCCAGAGCAAATGGCAATTCGTGCCCCAAAGAGCTCACAGTTTAATGTATGAATCTCAAGCATCTAATGGAGACAGAAGAATACCCCAGTAGTTGACAAATACATGCTGGCTATATGTATTATCCCCACTTTGGCTATGTCTACACTACAAGCTTTTGCAGCAGAATATATGCTAATGAGGGATTCATTAGCATAAGTTGTGATCTCATTTGCATATTGTCTGCAGATCCATTTTTGCGCAAAAACAAGCAATGTGGATTTTTTCTTTTTGCGCAAAACCCCCTTTTTGCACAAGATCCTTATGCCTCAAAAAAGGAGGTATACCTATCTTGTGCAAAAAGAGGTTTTTGCACAAAAAGGAAACATCCACACTGCTTGTATTTGTGCAAAAACCCCTAGCACAACAACGGATCAGCAGAATTAATGCAAATGAGAGCACAACTTATGCTAATGAATCCCTCATTAGCATATTTTCTGCTGCAAAAACACTACATCTACACTGCAGGCTTCTTGTGCAAGAACTGTTTTGCTTAAGAGTTCTTGTGCAAAAGGTCTTCCACAAGAGAGCGTCCACACTGCCATGTGCTTTTGTACAAGAGTGTCCATGTCAGTGTGGATGCTCTCTTGTGCAAGAAAGATCTGATAGTCATTTTAGCCATAGGGCTTTCTTACACAAGAAACCCCTGTTGCCTGTCTACATAGCCTTCTTGTGGAAGAGCTCTTGCACAAGAGGGCTTATTCCTCGTGGGGAGAGGAATAACTCTTGCGCAAGAAGCCCTGTTTTCCGACGCTTTACTGTAAATTTACTTGCGCAAGAACACGTGTGCAAAAAATGTGGTTTACAGGATCTGTCGAAAAAGGCTTTATTTTTGACAGATCCGTGTCTAGACTGCCTTTTTTTTCAAAAAAGCTCAGTTTCAAAAAAAAGCAGTGGCCGTGTTTATGCTAATGAAGCGCAGGATATTTAAATCCCGGCTTCATTAGCAATTTTGACATGCCTAATCTACATCTCTCTGTCAACAGAGAAGTGTAGTCTAGACACATATTATATGTTTAAGCATAAATGATATTAAGCACAAATATTAGAGCAATTATGTAGCCTATGCTGGCCTAAACCTTTTCTTCTAGTCCTGTTCCCTTGTGCTAAGTATCTAAGCACATCTCTTGTGTTTGTTGAAGCAAGCTCTGGCTTATACATAGGAAAACGGTCAGGACCAGGACATGTGAGTGTTTTATCACAACAACAGCTATGGGGTTACTCTGAGAGGTCAGGTACGGGAATGACAAAGGAAGAGGGCAGGACATCTGATTGTTCCAGCCTAGTACAGACCTAGGAGGTGTCATTAGGCCTTTTGGTACATGTGTCAGAACAGAGAGGTAAGGGGTACACCAGGGTACTAGAGAAACAAAGTAGAAAACTGATAAATTAAAGCACATTTCAGACAACACACACAGCACCTTGTACCTACTAATTGTTAGGTTATAAAAGATGGCGTTAGGGGTTTAACTTGTGGACCTTCCTTTTGTGTCAGGGGAATGTAACAAGGCTGCATGAGGGGCTTCCCAGAGACAGGTGTCGTGTGTAACATTCCCCCCGTGCTGTGTTATTGTTGGCTTAGAGTGATAAATCATCTGATATTGGCTATTTAGGCTCTGGAATAAATTCAGAATGAACCAGGGTGTGGCCAAGCCATTGACTTTACAGTTTATTCAGCACGGAATAACAAATCAGAAACAGAGACCTCCCCTGTAACCTGGTCCTTAGCTCCTGTCCACCCAGCCCCCTCTGCAGTTCACTGGGATTATACGTCACAGCAGCCCCTGTGCAGCAGCCAACGTCAGGCCCTTCTGCACTGGGTGCTGCACAGACACTAACGGTTTATCTGCCTGGGGAACCATGGGCAGTGGGTGAACCCCTGGGTTAGGGAGGCAGAACCCCAGGCCCACCCCTTCCACCTGGAGCCCCACCCTTTCTACACCCTTTCTACATTGCTTCCCAACCCCAGCAGGGTTGCTGGGCCGTGTGACTCCAGACTCCTGGCCCCAGATGGGTTGGTGGGTGGCACAGGCCCAGCCATCCCCAGAGTGTCAGAGAGCCAAGCGGGTGGCGTAGCCCCAGATGTCCCAAAGTGCTGGTGAGTTGGGTGGGTGGTGCAGCCCCAGGAACACCAGGAGGGCCGCATTTTGGGAAGGCAACATTTTCCCATGCCTGTGATAACTGAGCAGAACTCTGCTGGTCTATAATGTAAATAATCCCTGCAGCTCTCCCTTGGGGATTCTCTCACTCCAGTGCATGATGGACTTTCTCTAGTTTACCTCATGGTGAAAATGGTGAGAATTAATCCTGACCCAGGCTCTCTAATTCCGGAACAGAGGTGTCCCCTGGAGGAGTTATCCCGAGAGAGCTGCAGGGATTATTTACAGTGCCGTTCTGCTGGTTAATTTCCCTGAGCAGACAAGCCCTTAGAGAGAGGCAGCCCCTGCTCAGAGGAGTTGTCTATGGGGGTGAGGGGATTTTCAAAAGCACCAGGCAGTAGGCGCACAGCCCAGTCACACTCCTGGGCTCCTAAATCCCTTAGGAGCTTTGGCACTTCTCCCCTGACATGAGGCAGAACGATTGGCCCCATTTCACAGATGGGAGCTGAGGCTCAGGGAGAGGAGGTGACAGGCCCAAGGACTCTGAAGTGGAGCTGGGACTAGAATCTCAGTCTCCCAGAAGATCCACCCTGGTGCCTTAAGCAGGAGCCCGGCCTTATCTTCTAGCCAGGCGGCTCCTCGGCAGGAGGGATTGTTTGGTTAATGCAGAAGGAAGGCTCTGGTCTGGACTGTCTGGCTGGCACAAATCATGGCAGATCTCAGCTCTGACAGAGCTCAGCGTGACCCTGGCCTGGCTGGCAATGAGCAGAGGGCTGCAGGGCAGGGGGTTGCCAAAGGGAGCAGCAAGAGGCTGTATCTGTGGCTGCCGAGACAGATAAAGCACCAGTGACTCACTGTGGGCTAGCACTGGCAAACCATGTCCTGACGGCTGTCTGCTTATTGCCCACCCTTGGGCCTTGGGGGCAAGGTGAGACAAGGCGAGGTCTTGGGTGTCTGGTTTTTGTCCAGTAGAAATTTGGCAACCCTGGTCCGTGACTGACAAAGTATTTGGTGGGGAAAGGACGGGGAAGGAGGCCGGTGGAGTTACCTGGGCAAAGAATGTCACTGCAGGGGCCTATTGTGCTTCACTTACCAATGGTGTCTCCCCAACACCCAGCTCAGAGCTGGGCTCTGGTACCTCCCCTGCCCACTCTTTTCCTGCCTTCCCTCTTGCTCACAGCTGCTCAATGGGGATCCCCCATTGTCTTCCCCCTCCAAAATGCTGGTGCTCTCCCCAGGAGCCCCTTTTAGCCCCACAGGCTCAGGTAGCCCCTGTTCCTCCAGCACGAAGGTGATGACGGGCGCAGACACCAGGAGCAGCAGGACCAGGCTGCAGCAGGCTGCACAGATGATGGGGGACATGGCCGGCCCTGCAACATGGGAAGAGATGTGATGGCTGTGTGCAAAGCAGCGTGTGGCCCTGCACTAGGCACAGAGCAGCTGCTGTAAAATGGGGACCCCATGTGAACTCCTGGAGGCTTCGCTCTCAGGGGGGACCATGCTGCAGGGGGCACGTTCCCCCAAAGTGACGCCTAAGTGATGGAGGCCGTTGGGGAGGCTCCTGCCTTTGCCCAGCACAGAGTCACTCACACCTGTTTGCTCAGACTCCACCAGGATTCCATGTCCCTATTCAAAAGAATAAAGGCCCTTTTGAATCACACCCCCCCCCCCTCCCCCCCCCCCTGCCCCCCCTGCCTCTAGGCAGAAGGCAGCATGAGGCCTTTGCTCCAGTTATGTCCTGAGGAGAGGGTGGGCTGGTTTGCTGCTGATGCAAAGTCTTTTCGTGGGGAGGGCCTGAGGTAAATAGCCAGGTTTGGGATCTGCTAAGGTCAGCCCCTGGGGTTCCGTTGCTGCCTGGGAACCGGACACTGATGCTGGGCTGAGGTTCCTGGCAGAGGGGTTTGCCCACACGCCGGGTGTGACACTCTGGGCCAGGCCTGGAGCACAGAGCGTAACTAGCTAATGACACGGAGACAGAACCTGGGAGCCCAGGTGGGATGATGCGTCTGGTGCCTCCTGCCAGAGCAACCCCCCACCCAGTGCGTGCAGGGGGAGGCGATAACTCACTAGCTGCCGGGTTAGCAGAGAGGGCAGGGAACTCCAGAGGAATAGGGTTGCCAGGTGTCTGGTATTGAACCAGACAGTCCAGTATTTTCACCTCCTTTCCAGTAAAAAAATTCAGAAAATACCAGATACCTAAAATGTTTGGTACTTTTTGATTTTTTCCCGGGCAGGAGGTGAAAATCCTAGTACTTACTGAGTTCTGCAGGGGAGCTCTCCGGCCCAGCATAGGGAGGCAAGATCAGGCAACTGCCGGCAGCCTCTTAGGGCCAAAAAGCCTCATTGTGTGGTTTTTAAAGGGGCTACGGTGATGGCAGGTTTGAAAGAGCCACTTTCCTGACCTGCAAAAATTCAACCCAGCTCAGCCATGCTGGGCAAAGCCTGGGAGAGCTCCAGGGAACTCGGACTAACAAACCCCTCACCTTGTTACTTCATGATGTGTTCCCTTTACATCCATTGGGATGGTGATTACACTCAGACTGGGGCTGCCCAGCCCAGGACCTACTTCTTCCTAACTAGAGACCCCCACAACACAGAAACTTCATAGGTATTTACCTGGGGAGGAGGAACACCACACACTGATCCTGGAGTCATCACCTAGGCAACAAGCACACATGAGATCAAAGCAGGCCGTGGCCCAGTGCAGGACCCTACCCTGCCCTAGTGTAACTGCCACCAAATGGATTTGAACCTGGGATGTTGGGAGCTGAGTATAGGAGCCTCTACCCGCTGAGCTAAAAGCCAGCTGCCTCCCAGCCCATGCTGTAGAGGTCTCTTGATCTTAACTGTTGCTGTTGTCTAAGTGCCACTTGCATTGCTCAGTAGCCACACTAGATATGTGGGTTACACTAGCACAACTGACCATGGGCAATAACTGGCTGGGGTCACTGCTGCTGAAAGGGACTGGAGTACAGAGCATAAATAGTTAATTATAGAGACAGAACCTGGGAGCCCAGCTGAGATAATATCTTTGGTGCCTCCTGCCTGAGCAACCCCCCACCCAGTGAGTGCAGAGGAGGCAATAACTCACTGGCTGCTGGGTTAGCAGAGGGGCAGGGAACTCCAGAGGAAACTTGCCCAGCAGTAGGGTTTGGGATTCCCCCTCGGAAAGAGCCACTTGCCTGCCCTGCAGAGATACAACCCGGCTCAGCCATGCTGGGCAAAGTCTGGGAGAGGGGCAGGAAGAATGTGCTATTTTTTCACCTTGTTACTTCCTGGTGTGTTCCCTTTACATCTATCACCATGGTGATCACACAGACCAAGGTTTGCCCATTCCAAGACTCACCTTTCCCTAACCAGAGACTCCAGAACACAGAAATGCTCAGAAACATTTACCTGGTGGGGATGCACCCGGCACAGCACCGCTGCTGCTGGAATCAACACCTAGGCAGCAAACACACAAGAGATCAGAGCAGACCATGGCCCTCTCCTGGCACCAACACTGCCCTAGCACAGATAACCATGGGCAGCCACTGGCTGGGGGCAGGGATGGTGGAAGGGACTGCTGGAAGTTGGCCCACATGCCGTGTGTGGCACTCAGTGCCAGCACAGAGCGTAACTAGCTAGTGACACGGAGACAGAACCTGGGAGCCCAGGTGGGATGATGCGTCTGGTGCCTCCTGCCAGAGCAACCCCACACCCAGTGAATGCAGGGGGAGGCAATAACTCACTGGCTGCCGGGTTAGCAGAGGGACAGGGATCTCCAGAGGAAACTTGTCCAGCAGAAGGGTTTGGGATTCCCCCTCGGACAGAGCCACTTTCCTGCCCTGAAGAGATGCTGCCCAGCTCAGCAATGCTGGGCAAAGCCTGGGAGGGGGGGATGCTGTGGAGGGAGGATGTTCTGTGTTGGACGAGCCCATCCAGTTGCCAGTTTGGTGTGTTCTCTTTACATCCATCTTCACAGCAATCACACTTTGTCCAGCAGAAGGGTTTGGGATTCCCCCTCGGACAGAGCCACTTTCCTGCCCTGAAGAGATGCTGCCCAGCTCAGCAATGCTGGGCAAAGCCTGGGAGGGGGGGATGCTGTGGAGGGAGGATGTTCTGTGTTGGACGAGCCCATCCAGTTGCCAGTTTGGTGTGTTCTCTTTACATCCATCTTCACAGCAATCACACTTACCCAGAGCCCCCAGAACACAGAAACACTTCACAAGCATTTACCTGGTGGGGAGGAACCCTTGACAGCATCACTGCTGGAGTCATTACCTAGGCAACAAACACACAAGAGATGAGAGCAGGCCGTGGCCCAGTCCAGGCTCCTACCCTGCCCTTGCACAACTAACCACTGGCAGCCACTGGCTGGGGGCAGGGCTGCTGGAAGGGACTGGAGCACAAAGCGTAACTAGCTAACGACACGGAGACAGAACCTGGGAGCCCAGGTGGGATGATGCGTCTGGTGCCTCCTGCCAGAGCAACCCCCCACCCAGGATATGTCTACACTACCCCGCTAGTTCGAACTAGCGGGGTAGTGTAGACATATCCTGGGTGGGGGGTTGCTCTGGCAGGAGGCACCAGACGCATCATCCCACCAAAGCCGGCTAGTGCGAACCCCGTGCCGCGCGGCTACACGCGGCACGGGCTAGATAGTTCGAACTACGTAGCCATTCCGATCTATCTGTACACCTCGTTCCACATGCCTCCCACCTAATACACCCAAGGGAACATTGGCCCCTTCTGGAAGTAGCGTGGAGTCAGGGGATGCAGGAAGCCTGACTTAGCCCCCCTGAACTTCCAGCTGGGAGCCACCTTTGGTAACTTTCACCCAGAAGAAGGTTGCACCCCAACCCGCAGCCCCCTCCAAGAACCAGCACCCCATTCTCCCTCCTGTACCCCAGAGAGGGGGATACACTGAGCAGAGAGCTCATACACATGCGTGCACCCCCCACCTCCTTACCAGTGACACTGAGGCGCTGGGCTGGGCTGAGCTGGGATCTGGTCACCCGGTTGTCGCTGTCCTTGGTCTCATAGACACAGACATAATTCCCAGAGCTGCCCCTGGTCACCACGTGGTCAAAGTCGTAGGTGGCCTTCGCCACTGAGACTCTCTGGGAAAAAACTGTCACCTCATCCTTGCAGAACACGACACTGGTGGCCGGGAATTGGGAGAGCACAGAGCACCTAAGCTGCACGGAGTCCCCTGGCTGGGCCGACATCTGGTTCAGGTAGAGGGTGGGGGCAGGGAGCTCACCTGGGAAGGAGAATGGATCAGAGTTCTTAGTGGGGCGTTGCTGGTGCTCAGCATTGTTGATGGAAGAAGTGGGACTGGGCCATGTCTCTGCTGGAGGCTCTGACCCCAGCCCATCGGGGCAGATGGAGGGATGAGCTCTCTCCAGGAGCTAGGAGCTTCATTTCCTGGGATCACTGGGGCAGCAGAAGAGCCTCAGGGCAGGGCAGGCTGGGCTCCCGTTGCCTGGCACTGGGCAGTGTCCTAGAATAAGGGGCCCTGGTGCAGGCACCCATGGACCCAGGTGGGGCTGTACGGCCAAGTGAGAGACGACCCCTCAGTGAGTCTGGCCTTTGGGCATTTAGGGCTGTCTAGGACTGGCCAGCACTTCAGCCTCCCTGAGCAGCCTGTACGGGGATGGACATGAAGCTAACAGCCAAGGAGCTGTGCCCGTCCCTCACCCCTCCAGCGCCTGCTCTCACGTCCTCCCTGCCCTTGTGCCTGTGCAGCCCACACACCTGCTGGGTGGGGTTCACTGCCCACCTGGTGGCCCCTAGACCAGTTTCAGAGAGAAGAATGACAGTCATAGCGGAGACCCAGCTGGCTTTTAGCTCCAGCACTAGTGGCTCATGCACTCAGCGCCAGAGATCCCAGGTTTGATTCAGTGTTACACCCACACTGTCCCCTGGCACAGGAGCCACCAGGGACAGTTCCAGGTCCAGGCTAAGGGAACGTCCTGCAGCAGCAGGGAGCAGATCCCCCTTTTCCAGGGACAACAACCAGGGCGATGGACCATCTGTGAACTCACTGAGCAATTGCTGCTGCCGCTGGGCAGATCAATATCTCCCATGCCCCTGCAGTGCCCCCTGCTGGTGCCTAGGCAGCAAAGAAACAGCTCTGCCAGCTTGTGCGGGGCTGGACACAGGGTCGCTGGGTGTAGTTCCCTGGCCTGGGCCATATGCAAACTCAGCTCTAGGCAGGCAGGTGGCATTTGAGAGGGTATGGCCAGACCCTATTATCTAACCCAGGCTAAGAACGATGCTGCTGATGCTTTAGGATGAGGTGCAGGCTGAGTCCATGTGGGGGGTGAGCTCCAGGGCAGAGACCTTCAGCCATGAGGAACTGGGAGCTAGCGGGTGGGAAGGTAAATCCTTTGCAATCAGAGCCAAGACATTAGCTCCTCCCCAGTGCCCTGGGGGTGGGACAGGAGTGGGTGTGACTCTCTGACCCAGCTGGCAGACTGGCCAGGGGTCAGGGCAGAGCTGAGAACCAGCAGGACAGGGAAGGCCTGGCTGGATCCCTGCTCAGATCCCACACAGCCCGTTTGCCTTCGCATGTCATTGGTGCTGGCACTGCACGGAGGTGGATGGACAACTGGGGCAAATGCCATGGGCAGGTTGGGGAGAGACAGACAGACAGACAGACTCACCGGGCGCTGAGCAGATCTCCTGGCTGCTGGGGCTCAGCACTAGGAACAGAAAGGTGCCGTGTGGTTAGTGCTGGAGACAAAACCCCCCTTTTCTGAAGACCCACTTCAGGGACAAAAGTTGCCTGTAATAGTCAGGGAAATAAATCCCTGATCTGTTGCTTGTGGAAGACGTAAACCATCAGGACAGTAGATCTGGGGCAGGGCAGATCCCTCGCACGCACAGACCTCGACTAAGCTGGGGCTGCCTTTCCCTTCAGCTCTCTAGAGGGCCAGATCTTCAGCTGGTGTAAACCCGGATTGACTCCAGTGGAATGACACTGATTTACACCAGTTGGGGGCATTATCCAGGAACTCTCATGCTCGGTGTTTCCGCTAGTTCCCATTTCTCTCCCACTGCAGAGGATGCTGGGAGTCTGGCCCAGGGGCTGCTCTCGGTTCTGTTGCCTGCCAACTTGCTACGAATTAGCCCAGATATTCCTGGATACTCACCGGGCAGCAAGAGGCACAGAGACAGGAACATTGGGGCAGTGGTGGGATGGAAACAGCCCAGCAGCTTCAGCTGTCGCTTCCTGCTCTGACTTCCCCCTATGGCCCTTCAGCGAAGGGAAGCTCCCGTCTCTCTCTGCTCGGATCTGCCCCCGTCTGGATGCTCCAGCCAGCCCCTCTCCCTGCTCCCAGGCCCTCTGGGGTCCGCAGGGCTGATGTAGCACAGACACTGCAGCCTCTCTCTGACCTGCTCTGTCTCCTCCTTGGGCCTGATAATCATCATCCCTGTTTCCTGCCCTGCGCCACAGCATCTCTGTTCAGTGCTCCGGCCACAGCGTCTCTATTTAGAGACGTGAGACTGAGAACGGAAGGGGCCTGGTTTGCTTTGAGTCTAAATAGATCACCCCTGTCCAATCTCACTGTCTGGGAACTGAGACCGACCCTGGCTAACCGCACAGCTGAAAGGTCACCGGGTGACTGTGTGGCCTGGGATGTTGGAGGAGCCTGAAACTTTTGCTCCCACTTGGGTCTTCAGTCCCTGGTGAGAAGGACCCAGCTTCCTTGGGGGAAAATTCTTCAGGGCTCAAGATGAACATACATGGGGTCGGGGACTTATACTGGTGCACAAGGGTGAATTTCCACCCCAAAGAACATCTACACCTACCACAGGACTGCCTTGGTCCTCACCTGGTTAGTCTCCACCCACCCTGTCCTCCACAGTCAGCTCCAGCCATTTCTGCCTCTCCTGCCCTGACTGCTCCCGCTCCCCACTCCAGGCTTCCAAGGACTCTGCATTCCCTGCTGAGCAATGGGCACCAGGGCCCTGCTGGATGGGGAGGAACACAAGTGAGTTGACAATGATCATCCAGAAGTGACATCTGAGCAGGTGGGAGCTGCAATCAGTGGGACTAGGGAATCAAGGGCAAAAGTCCAAAGACGTGAGAAAGAGAGAAAATCTCCTGAATAGATGTTAGCACCTCTGGGGGAAGCCAAACAGCGGAAGGCCCCCAGGGAAATGTGTCAGGAGCACAAGGCCCAGAAGTTTTGCTGAGTAACTGAGGCAGAAGCAGATTGTCCTGGGATGGGGGCTGGGCACATTTCACGCCTAGGCTGGAGTTAGCACCACACAGCAGCTGGACAGGGGGTGCTTGGGGAGTTCAGGCAAGAGTCAGAGGAGCACAGCTGGAGACTGGCTGTTGTAAGTTTAACCCTTCGGCAGCAGCCAGGGCCAGGCTGAAAATCTAGGGGGGTTTCCTCCAGTGATTTCTCTGGGAGAGTTGTAGGGGACAGTGGCTAGAGCCGTGTCTATGTGAGTGTGGGGAGGGGGAGGCTGGGAGACAAGACTTATGGGTTCTATCATGGAGCTAATGGGTTAGATTGGGGTGGGGGGAGGCCAGGACTCCTGGGCTCAGCTTCTCTACATATTTGTTGTGTGATTTGAGTGGCTTATGGAGAGAGCAGGTAACTAGTGGAGTGGAGAGCATGTGGCGGTCCCTGGCTGGAGAGTGGGGGGACGAATGGAGCAGGCATGTCACGGGCAGTGGGTTAACAGCTGGCCTGGGAAGTTAACCATCCCCCGCCCCGCCCCGCCCCGCCCTCAGCCACTCAGAGCAAAGTAGAAGAGGGAATGATTTCAAATCCACCAGTGTCTGCAGGGCAGTCCAGCGCCCTCACTCAGTTGCTGACTGCATCTGCAGCAGGGCCTGCACCTCACATCTGAAAACTCAGAGCAAAGTCAGATTTTCTAGGCATTCAGCTCTTAGTGAGACACCTAAATGCAGGAGCTGGATTTCCCAGCGCACCAATACTTCTTGCCTGACATTTATGTTTCATCACATCCCTCCAAACCCACATGACATTAAACAGACCTGGCAATTCAAAGGTGCCCCTGCCACTGTTGTCAAGTCTCATGATTGCACAGCGCATCTCATAATACGTCCTGCTTTTCTTAAAGCCCAATGGCCGTGGTGCCGGGATTATGTGAGAATCTTGGACTATTTTAAAAATGAGTAAATTTTTACCTCTTCTGGTTGTGAAGAACAGCTGAAAAACCTGACCTCTAAAAGACCTGACCTCAGACACTGCACATCAAATAAAAGCAAACAAAATGCATACTTAAAAAAAAAATCTCATTAGTTCTTGAGGTAAATTGGAATTTTTTGGGTAGGGGGGCTGCCTCATGATTTTTGGATATTTTGGGTTAGCAATGGAATTACTAGACAGAGCTGAGAGGACTTGGGAGCTGAGTTGTTGGTAAGAGGAGTCAGAGGGCAGGAATACAGAGTCTGAGTATTTTTCCTAATTTTATTAAGAAAAAAATCTTTTTCTCCCACAAGGAAAACAAGTCACATCCGCCCTGAGAATACTCCAGTGTCAGCTCTTCGGGTCACTGAGCATTGCCTAGCTGTGGCTCCAAAGAAGGTCTTCCACTTCCTAGCTGCTCAACTTCTGTAGTTGCTTCTGATTTGGGGAGGTTCTGTGATGTGGCTGCACACACGAGCCCTGCGTTTCAGCTCGTGGACCATTAATGACGCCTGTTCTGCTTCGCAGTGATGGCTGCGTATGTCGTCTCTTCTGTCTGGGGCCGTGGATGCTTTAAGATAATCACAGCAATGTTAGTTTTCTGCTCAGCCAGACTAAAGCCCAAAAATGCCCCTCTGACAGCACCGCTGTGTGTGCATCAGGAGCAGTTCTATTGGGCATCTAGGCGGGGGAAAATGATCTTCTTACATCAACCCCTCTGAGGCAGCCAGTTCAAATTTTCTCCTCCCCACCCTTGGTCTGGCTTTTTTTTCACATTCCCCCCAGTTAGAGAGAGAGAGAGAGCTTTTGGGCAGAGTGCTGGCTGGAAATAGACTTGGAGCTGGGATTAAAGAAAGTGTCTCTTGTTGTTTGGCTCCTGTTGTGTTCTGGGAAACAGGACTTTGTAGATCTTTTATAAATAAACAGGGTTGCATCTATGAACGCAACTGTCTCTCATCACTTTTACCTCTCAATCTTACTATTCACAAGATCTAGATTATTAACTAACTGCTTGGGTCAAAAGGGAACCAATGTGCATAATCTTGAGAGTTAATCCAGCTTCTGAATTCACATGTCGAATAAATCTCTAAGGCTGTGTCTACACTGGCAAGTTATTCCGGAAAATCAGCCGCTTTTCCGGAAAAACTTGCCAGCTGTCTACACTGGCCGCTTGAATTTCCGGAAAACCACTGACGATCTAATGTAAAATCATCAGTGCTTTTCCGGAAAAACTATGCTGCTCCCATTTGGGCAAAAGTCTTTTTCCGGAAAACTGTTCCGGAAAAGGGCCAGTGTAGACAGAACAGTACTGTTTTCTGCAAAAAAGCCCAGATCGCGAAAATGACGATCAGGGCTTTTTTGCGGAAAAGCGTGTCTAGATTGACCATGGACGCTTTTCCGCAAAAAGTTCTTTTCCGGAAAAGCGTCCTGCCAATCTAGACACGCTTTTCCGAAAATGCTTTTAACGGAAAACTTTTCTGTTAAAAGCATTTCTGGAAAATCATGCCAGTGTAGATGTAGCCTAAGGGTATGTCTACACTAGTCCCCTAGATCGATCTAGGGAGTCTAATTAGGGTAACCGGAATTGCAAATCAAGCCTGGGATTTAAATATCCTGCACTTGATTTGCATGTTCCCAGCTGGTTGCCATTTTTAGAAATTGACTAGCCCGAAGTAACTGCCCACGTCTACACACGGCAGTGAAACGGGAGTCCGATTTAAAGGCCCTAATTCAAATTAGCTGGTAAACCTCATTGCAGGAGGAATACCAGCTAATTCGAGTTAGGGCTTTAAATTGGACTCCCATTTCCCTGCCGCATGTAGATGTGGGCAGTTACTTCGGGCTAGTCAATTTCTAAAATGGCAACCAGCTGGGAACATGCAAATCAAATGCAGGATATTTAAATCCTGGGCTTGATTTGCAATTCCGGTCACCCTCAGTAGCCTCCCTAGATCAATCTAGAGGACTAGTGTAGATATACCCTAAGTAATACCCTGTCCTGCTGTCATTTACTAGATTTCTACAGGATGAATCGATATTTGTTGGCATAAACACAGCCAAAGAAATACTAGAAACATCTCTGGAAAAGAATGAACCCTCTTCTCTTCGAGATCACCGCAGTTCTTTGCCCCCAAGCGCTCAGGACAAGATGTACACAGTGAGGTGACATGGTCAGCAAGTTTCATGTCCACTAGAATGGCTTTGTGGTATGTGAAAATAAGAGCGATGATAGGGATGCTAACTGCAACCTTACTTCTGAAGAGCCCAGCTATCCCTGTATGACAGCCGCACATAGCCCCTCTCTTTGGGACACTACTTGAAACACTCAGTCAAATGGTACATAATAGAAATAATAATAATATTAGGGCAGAACTCCAGTGCCCCAAACTGCTCACATGGATCCTTACAGGAGAAGAAATAAAAATCCAGGGTTTGGTTCATGGCCAACAGCAGCTGAAGTGTGGCCAAATCATTATCATAAAGGAAGCAATTGGGGGAAGGAATTCCTGTGTTAGTCCCTGCTGCTAACAGGATACCCGGGGTGTGTGCACCACCGCACAGCCACTGCTAGCAGTCAGAGCCTGTGCATGCCCCATTGACACTTACATCCCATGGAGACCCATTGAGGGAAATCCTGCCCCATTGAAGTCAATGGGATTTCACCCCTTGTCTGTCTTTTTCCCCTCTTTGGGAGGCCTGTGGTGGGGAGGGTGACCAGTAAGTGGTGCTGGAACTTCATGAGTAGGATCCATTTCACAAGAGCCAATTCCCACATTTCAGAGATTCCCACAATTCCCACATTTGCAAACCCGCCTGGGAGCTTGGATTGTCCAGTTCCCAGGAGTTTCAATGGGAAGTTTGAAATGATGAACGTCTTTCCCTTGGCTATGTGTGTGGCTGCAGAGGCTGGTGGGGAAAACCCCTCTGTAGCCATATGGTTTTTCAAGTTATGGGGGATTCTCTTCTATCAGTCTTGTGTGGTGTTTGGGAAGGATGTTTTCCTCCCGCCTGGATGTGTGTGTTTCTGTGCGGGCACAGCCTGACTGGCAGGCTAGCAGCAGGTAAGGGAGACAGCTACCTGCTCTTGGGTGGAGATCTGGAACTAGGGCAGCAGCAGGGAGCCCTGAGGGTGGGTACCCTGAGTGAATCCACGTTCCAAGCCCGCTGGTCCCTTCCGAGTGGGAACAGGCAAACCAATCGCTCTCTGCTCTCACCTCACTTTGTCACTAATAAAATATTTGACTCACGTTTGCACTTCTCTGCAAATTCACGGAGGCATCTGGAGAGAGAACAACAGTGACAAATTGTCACGTGGGTGCGTATCCCTTTAAGGCTCCTCCCCTGACACGAATTACAACCACACGACTGCTGCATCTCTCCCAGCCTGGGCCCTTCCCCTGGGCAGCACTGAGCACAGTGGAACCTGATGCTGATCAGGGTCACTAGGTGATACTGGAACAGGAGGATTTCGTACGGCTGGAGAAGTTCAGTGGAAACTGCCTGTCTGGGTTTCTGACAGAGCTGTTTTGTCACAAACAGAGTCAGCTTTTGGCAGAAATTTTCAAGATTTGCTGACATTCTCTACAGGCTGGACTCCATGGCTGGGCTTCATCTCCCACGATGCACTGCAACCCGGGGCACCCATGATGTGCGACTTTCCATCACCAAGAGGGGAGACAGTGATGCATCATGGGAGAGCCAGAGAGCCCAGCTCAAAGAGGAGACTAGGAGCATGAGGCACCAGAACTACAGCTCCCATAAGGCACTCTTGCTCCCAGCTCCCAGTGACGGGGTTGGACACTTTCCAGTGGGAGTTTTCTCTGGGATGTGCCTTTCCATGAAGGAAGGGAATGGGTAACATTTCACCTCAGTCCCCTAAGCCCTGGCAGTGCAGGGCTGGGGATCACAGGCAAAGGATGGGACAAAGGAACCGCAAGGTTCACATGCACAAGACCCTGAGGACTCTGTCTCCTCATTCACTTTAGTCACAGGTAGTTTGTTGTTGTAACTCTTGGCCAGACAGTCTGATCTGGGATCTGCCCATCCCCCACCAAGTACCACATTTACCCTCAGCCCCCACATTTCTCCCTCTTGTCTGGTGACCCCGGTATCCCCAATGCTCTACAAAAGCTCTCACATTCAATATGATCTTCAGAAGCATAGCTGGTATCACGCTGGACTTCTTCCCTGTGGGGAGTAGTAAGGACAGGGCATATCAGTGATATCACATGCTGTCTGGGTGTCACTTTGGTGACACTGAGTCTGTTTGCAGAGACCCAGCTGTGAGTAGGTTTCTGCCCATGGCTGATTCTCCTGCTAGGACCTTCCATCTCCATTCAGCTCATACTCAGTGGAAAGGTGGCAAGACCCACTTCTGGGTAGAAGCTTCCAGGGGTAGCCGAGTTAGTCTGTGCAGGATAAACTTAAAAAACAACAAATGGTCTGGTAGCACTTTAAAGACTAACAAAACCATTTGTTGTTTTTTAAGTTTATCATTTCTGGAAAATCAGGGAATGTGGAGGCTTCACTATTTATGGAGGGAAAGTCTAATAAAGGCAAGATTTGAACATGCTACTCCACTTCAGCTAAATGGCCAAGAAACCAACTAACCAACATCCTATTAAGTCAGCAGGGAGTTAAGATTGGGGGGAACAGAAAACACCTTTTATTTCAGGACAGACGTTGAAGAGAACACCACTGTTTTCACAAAGTCAGAACAGAGTGGCATTTTTTCACCCCCATGAACAATAGTTTAACCAAAATGAAATGTTTGGCCAGAACTATATTCCTTCATGACATTTTCAAAGAAAAAAAATCGTAAAGAAAATGTTTGCTTTGTTTTTAATGGACTTTTTGTTTTGTTTCATTTTGACTTTTTTGTCAGAATAAAACATTTTTGTGAAAAACGTTGAACAACATTGTTTATTTCAATTTTTGTCTCTTAAACTGGATTTTGGGCCGAGGTCTGCTCATGAGGGAAGACGGCTGATGGTTCATCACAGGGATGTTAGTCCTAGTGAATGGAATTTCTGCAGACTAGTCAATTAGTAGATAAGCAGGAGAGCAGCAGCTGGGTTAGCTCCTGGCCCTGGAAGCTCACCCCGCTGCAGCTCTGCCTTTTAAATGTATTATGAGCCAGCGGTCACTTAATACATTTAAAAGCCTAGGGACTGGGTGAGAGGTGGGAATCAGCTATCCTGGCTTGCGCCAGGTTCCCCCCGCTGTGGTTCTGCTTTTTAAATGTATTAAGAGCCGGCAAGCTCTTAATACATTTAAAAAGCAGAAGCTCAGCATCTGAGATGGCAGGAGCTGGGAATCAGCTGGTTCCTGTCTTGCACCCAGTCCCCACTACCCCCTGCCTCCCCTGCTCCCACGGAGACAGTGCTGAGGGAACTGGCTTTTAATCTGGCTCCCCCCAGCACCAGCTCCTGCTCCCCTCCACCTTTCTGCCTCACATAGAGGCAGAAGGGGGGGGGAGGGGACAACAACTAGCTGAGGGACTAGTTGACTAGTCACTTACATCCCTAGTTCATCAAGTCTTTGCACAGGGTGGAAATGAAGCTTCAGAGCCCACTTCTGGCCTAGTCTGCAATCTGGGTCTCATGTCCTAACAGGGCAGGGTGGGGGTATTTGGGAGGAGAGGCTAGTCAGGAGGAGGGAGGGAGGGAATATCAGGGGAGCAGAAACTAAGGAGACCCATCGGTGTGGATGTAGAAGGCTGGTGGGGATCACTGCTGGAAGTTAGGGTGGGGGCTCTGAGTACCAAGGGTCTGTTTGTCGTTCCCCTGGCTCCCACCAGTTTTATTCTCAGAATCACTGCACTGGGAACCCAGACTGCGTCGAATACTGGCAGAGCCTGGAAAGTGCTTCTAGACTCCCCATGCACTTTCCCCTCTGTGCTTCCACTGGTCCTCCCCTGGCATTCTCTATACCACCCCCTAGCACATCAGTCTAGGCTGGGTCTATGCAGATTTTCTGGAGTCCCTCTTGAGCAATGTGCAGCTGATGAATATTCCCTGAGCTCCAGAGTGGTGAGACCAGCATGGAACAAACATACGGGCTCCAGTGCCCTCATAAGGGCTGCAGCAGAACCAGGGACCTTCAGAAGGTGACTAGGAAGGGAGGAGTCCAGTGGAGCTCTGAGTGGCAGGAGTAGGTGGCAGAGCAATGGGGAGCCACTCTTAGACACTCTCCCTGGGGCCCCTGCAGGGTATCAGTGTGAGGAAGATGGTGGAGGGGTCCCTCAGAGCCACCTCACGGGGGGGGGGAGGGGTCAGACGGTGAATCAGCAGCACTTAGCAGCTTCCCTGGCACTAGGGGCAGCGTGAGACCCCAATGAGCTGGTCCCTCTGGGCCATGCTGCAGAGGCAACTGGCTCAGAGCCCCTCTGTACGGTGTGTTATTCACATGGACAGTGCACCCTGAACCCCCACAGGTGTCCCTGCTTTCCAGCCCAAATTAGCAGGCCAGGGAGTGCTATGGCCACTCCATGCTCAGAGCTGCACTAGGACCCTGTGGGGGAATCCTGTGGGTTGTTTCAGGACAAGTCCATGTGTGGACTTGTTACGCCTGGCACTAAACCAGCTGTGGCCGAGGGAGCTAACGTTGGGTGTTTCTCACTGCAGCTAGATGGGCTGGAGACCCTTGGTTCCCAGCCCTGCCAGAGAAGAACAGACCCGGTTCCAGGGTTGATTGTTGTTCCTTTGTGGACAACCAGCCCCAACACCTCCTGAGTGCTAAACAGGGTCACTTTCCCTCTGTCAGACTTTTCAGGGCAAACACGCTCACTCTGCTGTTGGTGAATTTGATGAGAACACACCATTTTGGCAAGCCCCTTCCTTAAAGTGTCTCCTTGTAACCCATAGATCCCATCTCAACCCAAGAAGAGATCATCCTGCCCCATTTTCAAAAATTCCCACTGCTCAGACTGAAACTCCCCACAGAATTTGAGCTGAGCTACACAGCTGTTGGCCTTTCCATGAGGAACCCACCCAGAAAGAAAAGGAGATGGGAGAGGGAATAATCTCCTACCTCTGATTCCTCCATAGAAATGCCACTGGCAGGCAGTGGGACAATGTGGTTGGAGAAATGGACACATATCCTTGTGAGGAGAGGGAGAGAGAGATGGCAAATGAGCAACATGGTCCAAATTCATCATCCCGTTGATGTTGAACCCTAGCTCTCTCCTCCACCAGCCCCCCCGACTGCCCCTGCAACCAGTGAGGCCATGTCTAACAATGCTGGTGCCAGTCTCGTGGCCTTTAATGTTCTGTGAAAAGCCCCAGGGCTGAGAGGCAGGGGGTTCAGTGAGAATTTCAACTGTCATTAAAAAAGTGTAAAATTTTAGGAGAGAAAAACTTGACAATGTGACCCCAAGACACCACGCAAAGAATAAAATCCCCTGGGCAAACACAAAGCCCCCACACGGGTGACTTGTTGGCAATCCCATGAGTCCTGAGCCAGTCTCGAGCTGGTCGCGGTGGCTGGAGGCTGTGGCAGCCGGGGAAAGGCTGCAGGGCAGCACTAGGCCCAGAGTTGTTAGAGCCTGATTTGGGAAATTACATACCCAGTACACAGGCACAAGGGTCCTTCCTGATAGGGAATGCCCTCCGTAACTTCAGCCTTAGGGACCTGCGTGTGGACAGTGCTTCCAGGTACATGCCCCTGGTTGAGCCCTAGACTGTGACCATCTGTGGGGCAGGCACTGTCCCCTGCATTATTGGACTGTGCAGCACCTGACACAGAGGAGGCCTGATTACTGTGGGGCAGGCACTGTCCCCTGCATTATTGACTTGTGCAGCACCTGACACAAAGGAGGACTGATTACTAATTGGGGTTAATGGGCACTACAATAACATACCCCAGTAATACATAATGTACAGCACCTAGCACAGCAGGGCTCTGATCCCTGCCTGGGGCTCCAAAATGCTATTGCAACACAAATAATCAGAATGAAAATTCCTTTCATCGTCTCTTTGATTTTACTTCTCAGCCAGCTGCCCCAAAACACGGAATCTTTGATCACCTCTCTCCCCCCATCTCAGACACACTGGGGACAGGGGATCTATGGTGTGTCCTTCCACGTCTGTCTGTACATTTGCTAACACAGCTCAGTCTCGTTCTCATACCCACCTTTATTCACCAGCAGATAAAGCACCACAGCCAGCACCAGGAAGACAGGGATCATAATTCCCACCACGAGGTTTGGATTCACACCTAGGAAAGAACCTCGCTGTGAATGGCTAAAGCTACACATGATTCTAATTGATACGTTTTTGTCTCATTTTGGTTCTGGAAATCCAAAGCAAGGGGGAAAGGTCTAGTTGAAATGAAACCCAAATGGGTTTTTTTGTACCATTTCCTAAATATTTTTTTTCATGAAAACATGGTCATTTCCCTTCACAAGTTTTAATTGAAATAGTTATATTCACAAATTTTGTGTCAAGAAACCTAGATGTTCCGCCAGCTCTAAGTGTGAGCGCCTCAAGGCAAATAACATCCTATAGGAACTGCCCTACCTCTGAGCAGCATTATGATTAGGGACTGTGCCCAGGTCTGAAACTTAACTTCAAACAGCCATGCAAGTCCCAGCAATGGGACTGCAGCAGGTGTGGCAACTTAAGCACGTACATTGGTGCTGTGCTGCAAACAGTTGATTTTGAGCCCATGCTTGAGAGAGTTTCCCAATAAGGGCCCAAGACCTGTGTGGCGTGTAGAGATGAGTGCAGAGCTACTCTGTCCATACGCAGGAGAAATGTTTTCCATCAGAAAATGTTGTTTCTTCAAAAATCAAATTCTTTTCACAGGGCTCCTCGGTGCTTTGGAATTGAAATGTGGTGGATTTCTGTTCCACACAAAATTGGAAATTTTGACTTTCATCATGGCTATGTCTATACTATGAGTATTCTCAGCAAAAAATATGCTAACGAAGGACTCATTTGCATGAGCCATGATCTCATTTGCATATTTTCTGCCGGTCCGTATTTTTTCACTAGGGATTTTGTGCAAAAACAAGCAGTGTGGATGTTTTCTTTTTGTGCAAAAACCCTTTTTTCCACAAGACCGGTAAACCTCCTTTTTGGGGGCATAAGGATCTTGCAGGAAAAGGTGTGTTCGTGCAAAAATAAAGCGTCCACACTGCTTATTTCTGCGCAAAAACCCTAGCGAAAAAATGGATCTGTAGAAAATATGCAAATAAAATAGTGACTCATGCAAATGAGTCCCTCCTTAGCATATTTTTTGCTGAAAAAACTCATAGTGTAGACCTAGCCCATGATTAGAAATGAAAACAGAATTCAAAAGGTCAGAATTTCTGGCTGGATAGCACAGATCTTATTAGTATTGCTTGGGCAGGAATCACTGGCTATTTCTACACAAAAGCCGTTTTTGCACAAAACCCTCCTCTTGTGCAAGAGCCATTCTTCCTGAAAAAATGAGGCTTTTGTACAAAACCCTCTTGCACAAAATGGCTCCTAATTAATTATGCAAATGAAGCGCAGCAACACCACACGTTATTTGCATAGGCTTTTGTGGATGACGGAAGCTGCGTAGATGTGTAGCCCGTAGGTGGCGCTGGTGCTCACAGCCTTTGCTGACATACTGTGTAGGGGGTTGTTTGCTGAAGAGGACACCTTTGGGAAACCAGGCAACTGGAGTATGTATCATTCTTGTGTGTAAAATTAGACACATGGAGTAGGGAATACTTTATGGCGATGTCTACACTGCCCATGTTTTGCGCAAAAAATATACAAATGCAGCAAACCGTGGAATATTGCTGCACCTCATTTGCATAATTAATGAGGCTCCGGTTTTGTGCAAAAGGCTTTTGCGCAAAAAGGAACCATCTACACTGTTCCTTTTTGCACAAAAGCCCCCTCTTGCACAAGAGCTGTTCTTCCTGAAAAAAATGCAGAACAGCTCTTGTGCAAAAGCCTCTTGTGTAAAAATGGAGCCTCATTCAATATGCAAATGAGACACAGCGATATTCCACGCTTTACCTCATTTGCATATTGTTTACACAAAATGAGTGCAGTATAGACATAGTCCAAGGATTTAAATATGTGATCAAGAGTGGTTCCACTGCTGCGAGGCCTGGGTTTCTGGGCAATCAGATGCAAATAGCCTTTTGTCCTTAAGTCTGAACAGTGGTTGGTAGGATTGGTCAGGTGATTCCCCATGCAATAAGGGAAATTTAAAAAAAATAGGAAAATGGGGAGGGGTCTTCTGTCCGGCTGCTGCGGCACACCCAAGGGAGGGAACCAGAGACCCCAGGGAAAAGGAGACCACCCTGGTTTAGAAGGCTTGGTCAGGAAAGAGACTGTTTTAGGGTGAAAGTTTGTAATAAGTTTGTACTGAAGTTTTAGTGTAGAAGGAGCCAAGAATTTTCTGTTATTTTGAGTTTGTAATCTACTTTGCTCTGCCTGTCCTGCTTCTCGGAGGGGCGGGGGCGTGATTTTCAACTCTGTGCCTTAGCTGGGGAAGACCAGGGAGCTGGCCTAGCAGGACAAAGTGGCAAGAAGCCCCAGAGAGCAAAGTGCAAGATGGAAGTGGCCTTGTCAGCACCCAGGGAATCCCCCTAAGAGGTTGTCTGTGAGCGCACCCTGTCGCACACAGAGACACAACCTGTGAGCCCAGGTGTGATGATGTGTCTGGTGTCTCCTGCCAGAAGAACAACACACAGAGAAGGAGAAAAATCAATGAACTCCAGAGGAAACTTGCCCAGTAGAAGGGTTTGGGATTCCCCCTTTGAAAGAGCCACTTTCCTGCCCTGCAAAGATGTTGCCCAGCTTAGACTTCAGGATGTGCAGAGCAGGGGGCAAAGGGGCAGTGATGTCATAGTGTCCCCTACCCTCATATACAATCTCCACAGAGCAGAGGAGACACATCCTGGGTCAGGACAGGAGGATTAGGAGCTACTGTGGTCTACTCTGAACCATAAGTGTTTTCTTAAAGAGAGAGTGCACTTTTCTGAGATTTCCCCAGCAGTCAGCTCACAGTCTCTCTCTTTCTGGGTTGCAACACACACTGTCCCTTTCACACTCACTTCCCAACATATACTTGTATTGTTAAGTCTCAGAGGGGTAGCTGTGTTAGTGTGTAATTAAAAAAATTAAAAATAGCAATGGTCCCATAGCATCTTAGAGACTAATAAAAATATAGAGATGATATCATGAGCTTTTGTGGACACAACCCACATCTTCACATGACAAATATGGAGCAAGAGGCACAGAGGTTGAATTCTAAAGCAGAAAAAGAGGGGAGAGGAGGAGGAGAAAGAAAGGGGAAAAGATTCTCAATGAAAGTGTCCATGCTAAATGAAGCGAATAGAGTAAGCTGTAAGTGCCTGAAACTCAGCTTTTGATGTAATTTGAGTGTTGAATATAACAGCCCATGCAGTTCATGTCTTTGTTCAGGCCCTACGAGATAGTATCATATTTGCATTTGAAGGCCCATTCCACAGATTCTCTCTTTAGTTAATTGATATCTTTTCTAAGTGAATAGCCACTTTTAAATCCATTAGTGAGTACCCAGGCAAGTTAAAATGTTCTCCAGCAGATTTCTCTGTGTTACCATTTTAAATATCTGATTTGTGTCCATTAATCCTTTGTTGTAGAGACTGCCCAGTCTGGCCAATGTACATGGAAGAGGGGCATTGCTGGCACTTGATGGCATAGATCACATTGATGGATGTACAATCATATGAGCCTCTTAAGTGTTACTATATGTAGTTAGGCCTTGCGATGATGTCGCTTGTACAGATGTGTGGACAGAGTTGGCATCGGGATTGATTTCAGGGATGAGTTCCTGAGTGAGCATGATGGGTGTGCTGCATGGTTGCTGGAATGAATTTGTTTGAGATTAGGGGGCTGTCTGTATGCAAGGATTGGCCTGCCCCCCAAGGCCTGCAAAAGTGAGGCATTGTTTTCCAAGGTAGGTTATAGACTGTAGATGCGCTGGAGGGGTTTAAGCTGGGGGCTGTAGGTCATGACGAGTGGTGTTCTGTTATTTTGTTTGTTGGGACTCTTACAAAACAATTTCAGGAATCAACTAGAGAGAGACTCTGCGGAACTAGCCTTTATACGCATCAGCTTATC